TGAGGGGCGGCTTCACCTGGCCCGCGGGGCCGGGGCCGGTGGGGGGCGGGCGCGCCTCCTCGGCCCTTTGCTCTCATTTCTGTCCGGGGGCAATCTTGGCTCCTGGCAGCGGCTTTGGGGGCGTGGGGGGGGGCAGGCCAAGTCCGCGATGTGCAGCCTTCTCCCCCACCGTAGGGGGGCCTGGGAGGGAAAGCTGTCACCCCCTCTTCTGCTCCTGAAACACCTGAAATGAACTAAGGTGACATGCACTGTATTGCCTCCCTGTCCCCAGCCCTGGGGTCCCTTTAGCTCTGGTTCATACACCTTCTGGCTGGGGTGTCCCTGTAGTTTGACCACGCCTCTCCTTTGAGGGATAGCCCCAGGCATTGTGTGGAGCCATAAGACCTGTATCCAGGGAGACCACTCGTTCCTATCTGCTGTTCCCTAACTCCTCTACAGCAGCCTGGGCCCCTTCTTGTGGGGGAATAGGAGACAGTGGTAGAGAGGTTTTTCTTGGGGAAGGGAAGGGGGCTCTCCCTAGAGTCTTCAGAGAGTTGTTTGTCTAGGCCCTTAGGGAAACTAAGTCCCCCCCCCCATTCAGATGTTAAAGGGAACCCTCCAAAGGAAGAGTTTTACCTAAAACTCTCTGAGCCTCTTATTTGTTGTTAGCAGGAGGGATGGGGATGAATAATTTATTGTACTGAGACTTGTTCTTGGTTTCCGTTTGTAACTAAAATAAATTAAACTACTGGACCAGTGGATGCAGGTGGTTATATTTCTGTCCACACTTGGGATCCCAGTCCATCGCTTCTTTTCCGGGTGAATTCTACCCTCATACACCCAATGACTTTACTTATGTGTATCCTGCCTGGGTTCCACAAAGGATTTGAAATGGTCCTCACTGATTTAGTTGGCAACTTTCAGTGTGAAAAACCAGGGGGTACTTCTAGGTAGAGGGGGACTAGATAGCCAAACATAGGCCCAATTTGCCTTTTTTTTTTTTTTTTTTAAGATTTTATTTATTTGACAGAGACACAGCGAGAGAGGGAACACAAGCAGCGGGAGTGGGAGAGGGAGAAGCAGGCTTCCCGCGGAGCAGAGCCTGATGTGGGGCTTGATCCCAGAGTCCTGGGATCATTACCTGAGCTGAAGGCAGACACTTAACGACTGAGCCATCCAGGCACCCCTACCCAATTTACTTTTTATGTGCTTCAACTCCAGACTTCACCTTGACCCTTGTCCTAGAACAAGGGTTGGCATTTTGTTTTTTTTTCCTGCAGAGGGCTTGATAGCAAGTATATCAAACATCTGTGCATAACTTTTGATTCCCCCAAAACTTAATTACTTATAGCCTACCGTTGACTGGAAGCCTTACCGATAATAGAAACAGTCGATTAACAGATTAACACATACTTTGTATGCTACGTGTTTTATATACTGTGTTCTTGCAATAAAATAGAGAAAAGAAAATGTTATTAAGAAAATCATAAGGAAGATAAAATACATTTACAGTAGGGTACGGTAGGTATTTACTAAAAAAAAAAAAATCTGTGTATTAAGTGAACCTGCACAGTTCAAACCTACGTCATTCAAGGGTCAGCTGTATTAGGCTTGTGGGATTTGTCGCAACTACTCAACTCTGCTATAATTACTCAAGTCTGTTGTTGTGAATCAAAAGTAGCCATAGACCACACATAAACAAATGGGTGTGGCTGTGTCCAATAAGGCTTAATTCACAAAAATGGGACTGCAGATGAGATTAGGCTCTCTGGCTGTACTTGGTTAACCCCTGCCCTACACCATGGTTACCTCTGTTCCGGAGATTTCAAGTCCTGAACGTATCTCAACATTAAGCCTGGACCCAAAAGTGCAGGTGCTTTTCTTTATGGCTCCAAGTCAGAGAACTTGGGAGGTAGATATAAGACTAATGGGAAGCATATAAAAGAGATTCCAGTGCTTGAAAAGGGAGTGTTTTGCTCTGGAAACCAGCAAAACCAGCATGCTTTCCTATTGAATTATTTGCATGTGTATTGTGTTCTTCCTTATTCAGAGCTCTTCTGCATTTAATCTTAATAAAATAATTCCTTTGTCTTTCAGGACATAACCAAAACTAGAGAAAACAGATTTTTTACAGTTACAATCTGTCTATTCCTAACTCAGTATCTTTGAAAACAAACCATTATCATTCAATTCAGAAAAGGGATAGGCATCACACATTCAGAACTTTACAAGTGACTAAATGTTTGTGGGGCTGCAAGATGCTGCCTCTAACAGGTCATCTCTTTGGCCGGGGAATGTAGAAATGGTTTTCTCTATTTCTCTAGGCAATAGATATGTCTGCTACCCAAATTACCCTCAAATTTAGGTGATTTTGCTACTCAGGTAGCAAGGGTATTTTGAGGAATGTTGGGTTAGGCTAGTACTTTATGACAAAATTTTATGTCCTGAATTTCCACCTGAGAATCCTGGGCTTGGAAACTTGATGGAAGCAGGAAGACATCTCATCCTTACCTTAGTCACTGACTGAGCCTGGTGTGTATGGGGGTGTCAGGCAGAGAGGGGATGCAGGTAGAATGGGGATAGGATAGAGAGAAAATAATGATAAGGAACATCCAGAATGGGAATTTCTCACACTTAGAAAGAGGGAGGAGAATCTCCAATGGTATTACAGCAAGAATATTTCGGCTTTTTCCTGTTTCCTTCCTCTGTATTCTCTTTGGCTCCCTCTCTTTCTAGCTTTCTCTTTCGTCAGGCACACTCTGTGGCAAACTTAAGCCCCAAACCACAACCTTGAGAAATTCCAAATGGATTTTGTCAGCATGGCCAACACCCCCCCACCCCTGCTCCCGGCACACGCACTGGGCTCAGACCCAGGCCTGGGGTCAGTGACGAGAGTGGGAGTGTGCAACCCACAGAGCGGGTGGCTACAATTTCAGCTTTCACTTAGCTCCACTGGCTGTCAGAGGGAGGGAGAAAGACTGATGAACTCTAAGTCAGGCCTCTAGGCCTCCTTCAGCTCTGGATGAGCTCCTTTTCCCTTAGCCTTTCAAGTGGTTGGGAAGCTGGGGAGTGGCAGTGGCTGGCTGATTGCCAGCTAGGCAGCACCCCCTCCTATCTCTGCTCCTGTTTGGTCCATGGGAAGCGCCCACTGATGCTGCAGCAGACTCCAGACTCCAGACAGGTGAAGGACAGAAAGCCTGGGAGATTCTCCAGTCCCATTCATCAGTTATTTTATTTTAATTATTTGAGAGAGAGAGTGAGCATGGGCGGGGGCAGCGATGGGGCAGAGGGGAAGGAGAAGCAGACTCTCCGCTGAGCAGGGAGCCTGACAGATGTGGGGCTCCATCCCAGGACCCCAGGATCATGAGAGTCTAGAGCCGAAGGCAAACACTTAACCCACTGAGCCCTGCATCCATCAGTTCTGACTCAAATGTCATGGTACTTGCTGCTAACCATATTAGGCTGTCACCATATCCATCCTTCCTAACACCCGGGACCCATCCTTGAGAGTATGTGAAGTCTCCGGCAGGAACACTGAATTTCTACCTCCTGTCAGAATCTCAAAAGGCATGTTGGTGTGGTTGGGGCACTAGTGAAGGGCGGAGGTGCAAAGCATAAATTTGGTGGTTGGTGTGGGGGCATAACTTGGTGGGGTGAAAATTTTAGGAAAAGAAATGGAAAGAGTAGTCATGTGGAACTATCACAGGGCCTGATCCAAGAGTCTGCAATAAAACTGAAGAAGTCTTCTGCCATTTACAACACAGAGCTTAGCGGGGCAAAGGCCCTTAATAGCAACAGCCCAGGACATATACAACTCTGTTATAAACATGCTCCTTGTTATCCAGATCATCCCTCACTATGTTAAATTAGGGTCCTTTTGGCTTCACATTCTAGGGTCATATTATTTTCCACATTAGAATAAGAGAGAAAACAGACTGGGATAAGAGGAAGAGAGTGGTGAATATATACATCAGGGATTGATGAGGACAAGGGATAGACACAGTGTGGCTATCTACCAACCTGGTTCTTCTTGAAAGAGACAAGAAATAAGGCCAAAAAAAAAAAAAAATCCAGAAAAGCACCAATTTTGGCTCAAGCCTTAGGGAAGAGCTATGTGTTCCCTTATACTGAGGAGAGAGGCCCCTTTAAGAACCTCTGTTCTTAGTATTACTAGTGACCTTCTATCACAGCAGAGACTGTTCCAAGGCATCTCTGCATGTCTAGATCAGATGCAGAAATGAGTGTAAGGGAAGTGGGAGTAGGCAGGGGTGGAGAAACATGGGTGTAAAGTCTCATTTTCCTTGGGATACTAAAATTCATAGTCATCTAGGTACACTTCCTCAAACCACACCTCTAAATATTAGGCTTCCACGGTTGTCTTTCACTTTCCAACTTCCTAACTGTACCAGAGTCCAGTTCTTTCCTTCAGTCTCTTAAATTCATCACCTCTCTCTCCTCTTCCCCATGGGAAAGGATCTCCTGATTCAGACCCCTGAGTAACCTAGTCTTAGCTTGGGAGGGGTGAGTAGCAACAGTGATGCAGCAAGGGCTCTCAGGGAGATGCAGCTAGCCGTGGTTAAGAAATAAAGGTACGGTCTGGAAGAATAGGGTGGGTCCCAGCAAGGGCTCTTCACTCGTACCCTCCTCCTGGCTTTGCGTCTCCGCCCAGCCCCTTCCAGCGTGGCCAGCATGCAGTTCCAGTCCTTAAATTTCAGGCATGGCCCTGGAGCTTGGAATTCTCACCTCAGTGCCCACTGCCTCATCCCCACTTCCCGGCTCCCGCCTCCGCCGCCCGCAGCCTGCAGCCCCCACATCGGCCCCCGCCCAGGCTTCAGCTCCAGCACCCGGCTGCCTCTGCTGCAGCCGCTGCCATGGTGATAGATCTCGCGAGAACTGCCGCTCGCTACCGCGCAGTTCTCGCGCGATCGGGGTGGTGGGAAGTATCCCGGTCTGGGGGTGGGGGAGCGCCGCACAGCTCCTGTCGCCGTCGCGGCTTCCGGTGCTAGGTGGAGGAGAGGAAGGAGGGAGCTGGGGAGCGGGGCCAGGGGAGCAGCCTTGCCGAAATCGGCTTGGGGGAGTCGGAGGGAGCGGAACCAGTGCCGAGCGGAACCTGTGGGGGCGGCGGCGGCGGCTGCTGCGGCGGCGGAGGAGCTGGGAGCAGGAACAGGTGAGGGGCTGGGGAAGGAAGGCGGGTCCCGGTAGAGGAGAGGCTTGGGGTGGGGGATGAGGAGATAGACCCCCCCGCCCCCCCCGGCACTGCCGGGCTTGGAGCGGTGTGGTCCTTCCCACCCGAGAGCTCGGGGAGGGGGCGCCGGGCCAGTCTCTCGCCTTCCCCCACGTTTGAAGGACGCGGAGCTGGGGTGGGGGTGGGGGGCGCTCACGAATTTGTGCTCTGCCTCGCACGCGGGGGCGACCCGGGCTGCAGTTAGGTTCCCCTCGCCTGCAGGAGGTGGGCTTACGAGAGGGGTCGGGGTTGAGGTGGAGGGAAACAGTCCAGAGAGGTGATGCGGGGGCGGTGATGACTGTTTTGTATCCTTTTCCTGTTAAAGGGCTAGGGAATGCCGCTTTTTCCTACCCTCTCTCCTGCTCCACCTTAGTACTAGGAGACCAGAGCCTTGTAGCGGTGACACCCTGTACTCCCTTCATGGGGCAGGGGTTCGTAGGGGGTTTAGGGATCAGACCGCCAGGCAAGCTAGTGGGGCACCCCAGGGGCGCTATTCCGGTAGAGGTTGCGCTTTGGGTCTTGGGAACCACACGTTGGGACGAGGGCAGCAGGTGGGGAGCGGGAGGAGAAGAGGCAGATGAGGGTGGGGGGGATCAGATCTTGCTTGGAGAGGAGAGGTGGTGCCTTCCTCCCCCAGGCAAAGCGGGGGCGGTCTCACAGGAGGAGGGAGCAGCTTGTCGCTGGCTCTGAGTTTGTGTCTTCCAATCCGCTTTCTTTCTTTAGGAAGTACCAGGATTCCCGGAACAGAAAATGGAGCCATTGCTTACACCAATGTTTGAGGGAAGGAGGGGGAGGTGGAGTTCCCATTTAACCCCGGCCACTTGCATAGCAAAGTGGTAGCTCCTCTTTTGGGGGAGTTCCCTTCTTTCTGGGTTGTATTACTGCCGGTCTCCTTCTGGCCAGGCCAGGAGGAGTGTGGTATGTGGTCAGGAGTGAGAAGAAATAGTGAGGTCATCTGGTTGAGGGAGAAAGCGTAACTCAAAACCTGCCTCCGCTGCTGTTGGATTGGGTCACCCCTGGTCTATGGCATGAAAGTTTTATGGGTAGAAGAATGCTGCAGGAGTCTGATTGCTTGGGTCAGTGCAACAGGACAGAATCTAGTCTCTGCATACTTTTCTCCCCTGGCCTTAATCAGGTAGTGACCATCTTTGCTGCCATTTTGTCTTGAGCTTCTTGGGTAAGTGTCTCCACTTGATATGACTGGAGTGGAGCAGTGAATTGGTTATTGCACATTAGACCTGAGTTTGAACAACATGTCTCTAAAAGCTCATTTTAAGAAAGAAGCTGATCCACAGAGGTCGCCTGTTCACAGAATGAATCATTGACCTTGGATTTAGGTGGGAAGGGCCCCCTGTGTATCACATATTTACATGCTTCCCGCCTCCCAGCATAGAAATTATTATTATTACTGTTATTTCAAAGATTTTATTTTTTTTGAGAGAGAGAGAGAAAGCATGAGCAGGGGGAGAAGCAGAGGGAGAAGCAGGTTCCCCGCTGAGCAGGGAGTCTGATGCTGGGCTCGATTAGGATCATGACCTGAGCCGAAGGCAGCCGCTTAACCAATTGAGCCACCCAGGCGCCCCCAGCATAGAATTATTGCCTTGCATCATCAAAAATTTTATGTGTAAGTCTTGTTTTTCCAAAGAGATGAAACATTTTGATTGCAGGGATTGGATTTCATGTTGTGTCTCCCACAGTGCCTAATGCAAACAGTAGGCTCTTGGGATGAATACAGGATGTTAATGGGTAGAACTCAACAAGCTTTCTGACTACAGTTTAAGGAAAGAGAAGGAGATGGCTTGACTGTCAGAGAGAGTGCCTGGAGATAGCTGAGTGAGGGTACAGAGGCCCTTGGGCATTGTAATTACGAAGTCTTGGCCTCTCCACCTTCCTAAGAGGCACAAAACAGGCATGGATAATGGAAACTAAGACCCAAAAAAGAAAAATATTACTAGAACACAAAGTCATTATTTATCCAAAAGCCCAGATCTCCTGCTTCCCCATCGCGGGCAAAGATGTCCAGTCCTTCAGAGTATTGACAAAATTGGAATTCTGGAGATTACAGAGGAGAGAGCCAATATATGTATGTGGTGCCTGGCACAGAATTGGTGCCAGTGAATGGTAGCTGCTATTATTAAACTGAATGCAAGTATAAAGGAGGGGTGACAGCGGGCTGGAAAGAGTGGAAGTGAAGTCTCAAGTGCACAGAGGATCATATTGTGTGTGTTCATTTCTGCTACTCTCTTTCCACTGGAGTCATAATAAGAGGAAATGGACTCAGAGGATAGTGGGTGGGATTTGTTACTTTGAAGGAGGAACTTCTTTAAAACCAGGTTTGTTAAAGCTGAGTAAATAACAGGGAAATTGTGGAATCTGCTTCCCCATACACCTTGAGAAATGCATGCCAAGCAGCCCGAGACTCGAAGCATATCACCGTTTTTGGCTCTCTTCACCATTTTTGTTGCGGGTCAATTTAGAGACAATATGGTATGGTTATTTAGAGTGTGGACCTTGGAATCAGACAAAATTGGGTTCAAATCCTGCCTCTGCTAATTACTAGTTTTATGATTTTGGTGAAAAACTTATCCTCCTTTAGCTTCATTTTCCTCATCAGTAAAGAACGTGATAATGATAGTACCTACTTCATATTATTGGCATGAGAATTAAATGAGATAATATATGTAAAATACTTAGTACTGTACAAAGCACATAGTAAGCCCCAAATAAATGTTAGTTGCTATTAATAATCATCATCATAATAGCAATAGTAATATGAGCACTCAGGGCTCCCTTAAAGGACAGGAGGTTGACAAAAGAATAACTTGCCACCTGTGTAGAGGGATGATTGTTACCATGACTTTCTTTGCTGGTCGTAGGCCTGTGAGCAATGAAATCTTTTTTCAGCATCAGCCTCACAGAGGCAGCTCCTGCTGTCTGAGTGGGAGGTGAAGCTGGAGCAAGGCAGGGGCCCTGAACCATCAACTTGGATGCCCGGTGAGGATGTGGGGGCTCAAGAATAGTGTTCATGTTAGAAAAGTCAGCATGATTGAAGCAATGGTTGACTCTTTCATACAAGAGCACTCTAAATGACTTAGGTCAGGGATTTAGATTCCTGGGCCCCTTTATTTTAGGTCTCAATTAGTATTTCAGCATCCTCCATTTCCTGGGCCACTCTTCATTTAGTCTTATCTCCTTTAAATGTCTCCCTCTGAGTATGTTTCGGAATGTACTGTATTAAGGTCCAGAGTTGTAATATCAGTGTAATTCTACCTGCTATACCTGTTCAACATCTGTTGCAAGTATAGGTAGAATGCTAGTAAAGCTTTTTGATAATGAAAAAACATGGGGAGCATTTGGAAGTTCCACAAATGTCTGAAGGCTTGCATTATGGTCTGGGAAAGAACTGACTGAGGTAGGGATTCCATGAACGTTTTAGAGCTTTATATTGGACTTCTACAAAGGATCTGCTGTGCCGTATGGACCCGAAGGGACATGGCTTGGGCATTCATGGATCCACCATTATCACCATATTCCTGAAGAAAGGTGAGATGACTGGGTGGAGCAGATCTCATTGTACCCGTTAGCTCTTCCATTACTGAGGAGAGCCTGGTGTAACCCTTCCTTTATGAGCTTTTACACTAGAGCATCAGGCATGGATGTTTTTTATTTTATTTTATTTTATTAAGATTTCATTTATTTATTTGACAGAGACACAGCGAGAGCGGGAACGCAAGGGGGGCAGTGGGAGAGGGAGAAGCAGGCTTCCTGTGGAGCAGGGAGCCCCATGCAGGGCTCGATCCCAGGACCCTGGGAACATGACCTGAGCCGAAGGCAGACGCTTAATGACTGAGCCACCCAGGCGCCCCAGGCATGGATGTTTAAACTTCAGCATGATTTAGGATGCAGGAGAACATTTGCTCTCTGTTGCAGTGGTTTTTGACCCCCTCTTCCTCTTTTGTTAAAAGGAATTAAACGTTACCTTCTATAAAATCTTATTTGAAGTCTAATACATTACATGGATAAAAATGGAGCTGCTCTACTGGTGGGGTAGAGGGGAGGAGCATAATTAGAGCCTCTCATATAGTTCTCCCCACACCCCCAAGCCTGTGAAGCCCATCCAGGGAACCCTAGGGCTAGGGCTCTGAGAACATAGCAACCATTTCTCGAGTTTGTCAGATACAGGAAAAGGATCAGGGATCACCTATAGAATACTGTCTTCCTCAACCTCAGAAATGTTTTACCACCATCAGTAGAACCATACTCCTCAAAAGCAAGCATGTTAGTCACTAACTACAGACTAATCATGGTGCTGGAGACATGAAACATGAATAAGTCATGGTCCCTGCTGACAAGGGACTCATAGTTTAGTGAAGTACTTCCCCAACCTTTTGTCATCATGGCATACACAGAGAATGGCAATAGTGAGAAAGACATAGTGCTTGCAAGCTGAGATGACTGGCCCTTGGGCTCTAGCCACCTTAAGCCCTGCCTAGCCATCCAGTACTGATGGGATGTATGGCAGTCCTGTAATGCGTTAAAGGCACATAATTTTTTTTTTAAGATTTTATTTATTTATTTATTTAAAGATTTTATTTATTTATTTGACAGAAACACAGCGAGAGAGGGAACACAAGCAGGGGGAGTGGGAGAGGGAGAAGCGGGCTTCCCGCGGAGCAGGGAGCCCGATGCGGGGCTCAATCCCAGGACCCTGGGATCATGACCTAAGCCAAAGGCAGACGCTTAACGACTGAGCCACCCAGGCACCCCAAAGATTTTATTTATTTATTTGACAGAGAGAGAGGGAACAGAAGCAGGGGGAATGGGAGAGGGAGAAGCAGGCTTCCCGCGGATCAGGGAGCCTGATGCGGGGCTCGAGCCCAGGACCCTGGGATCATGACCTGAGCCGAAGGCAGACGCTTAACAACTGAGCCACCCAGGCGCCCCTAAAGGCACATTATTTGGGAAGTTCCAGCTCTGGAAAGCAAAACAGATAAGTGTGAATAAAACATCTATGGTGAGTCCTAGAGTAGGAGTGTGTTTGAGGTGCTAAGGGATCACACATAACTCTTATTCCCCAAGCTAGTAGTTCTCTGTTTTCTTTTTTATTTCTTTTTTTTTTTTTAAAGATTTTTTTTATTTATTTGACAGAGAGAGACACAGCGAGAGAAGGAGCACAAGCAGGGGGAGTGGGAGAGGGAGAAGCAGGCCTCCCGAGGAACAGGGAGCCCGATGTGGGGCTCGATCCCAGGACCCTGGGATCATGACCTGAGCTGAAGGCAGACGCCCAACCGACTGAGCCACCCAGGTGCCCCAGTTCCCTGTTTTCTGAATCCTTAGACTGCTCTGTAATGGTGGGCCTTGTCTAAACCATAGCTTCCTGTGTCATCTGTTCACCAGCAGCTCGATTTTGACCTGTGAAGTGGGAACCAGA